TGCTGAACCACTGCCAGTGTCCCGCTGTCCCTGGCCCAGCTCTGGGGCCAGGACAGCGTTGCAGGAATGTCCACTTATTGGGCACTGGATCAGGAAAAGCCAGGCTCTGCCTGGAGGGCTCATCAGCCGAGCTGAGAGAAATCGTGGAGGGCCAGGCAAAGAGCTGTGAAAGAGAGTAAATCCAGGAAGGCTTCCTGGAGAGTGTGGCTCCTGAGATGAGCTGCATTGAGGGTATGACCAGGGAGACGGCAGGGGAAAAGGCATTTCGGAGAGCAGGAATAGCCTGCCCAGGGGCAGTGAGCGGGCAGGACCAGAGAGCATTCAGGGAACGTTTGATTCCACGTCTGTTCGAGGGCAGCCCATGCGTGCTGAGCCTCTGAGGGGCAGGCCGGGGCAGGGTGGCAGCAAAGGGCCCTCAGGGCAGGAGGAGACCGTGGGCAGCAAAGGCTGCTGGAACCTCCGCAATGGGCAGCAGCAGCACGATCAGAACTGGGCGCTCGTGCGAAACAGGTGCAGAGCGTGTAAATAAGCAACGCGGTAACAGTGTCCCCGCTGTTTGCGCGCGCAGTGTGCCTGCCGTGTGCGAGACCGTGCCGTTCCGTTTCCTCCTCACGACACCCCGACGAGGTGGCTGTGACCGTCATCCCTGCGTTCCGAAGAAGCCAAGGAAGGTGCAGAGAGGTAACGTCAGCTGCCAAAGGCCATCCAGCCAGGGAGTGGCTGGGACTGGGGTTGAAATCCAGACTTTCGACCACAATTTATTAACCTCTTCCTGGGTGGGGAAAGAAGAGACACACTGGAGCTGAGCTCTAAGTCTGAATCATTTCCTGCTAATGTCTGCGTAAGAGAATCAGGACGCGCCCAGCTGGCCCTGGCCGTGACACTCCTCGGCCGGACCGGGGGCCTCCGGGGAGGCACCAGCATCAGCCCGTCTCGGTCCTCACGGCCTGGCACAGATAACTGCGCGCGAACAAATGGTTGAACAGCTGTTTGTAAGTGACTGAAATCTCCTCCATGGCAACCAGCTTTCCTCTTTAATCCATGTTAGAAGACAAAATAAAGCTCTCCAATTATTTGCATGATTGTAATTCATTTTGAAGTTGAAATATGTTCCCCCAAATTACCCGCCGTGTCTGATTTCAAAGAATTTATATTCTCGTAGATTTCAGCTTCGAGATGGAACCTGTCAAATTCTGACAGTCGGACGAGAAGAGCTCCCAAGATATTCAAAACACTGACAGCCGACCCCTGACAGCGCTCCCCAGCCCAGGGAGTGGGGGGCCCGGGCACTGAGCCTTTCATCTGGGCTGGTGGAGCTGGCAGGTGGCACCAGCGGCTTGGGCCTCCCCATGAGCTGAGTGGTCTGTCCACTAACCCTGGAACCGATGCGATAAATCTCATGACTACTGATGGTTCCGCTACTCCAGGTGTGGGCTAATTGGCCAGAGAGTAAACAGCTCATGCAAGATGATCGAAACGACATTTGTTGAGAGACGGACAGACAGAAACAGAGAAAGAAGACTGGAGGGCGCGACCGTCAACCTAAGGTCATCGTCCCTGGAGGATGGGCTCAGGGGTGGTTTTGGTTTCAGAAATCCAAAGGTCATGTGTAGCCAGGGACCTGCAGCTTCCCGGCTAGATGGGGCCATTCGGTCCGGCCATGGTGACATGGGCAGGGACAGAAAGGTAGTTAAGAAACAGGATGAACAGGTCTGCCGAGGTCCGGCCTTCAGGGAGTGGGCGAGGCCTGGGGCTGGAGGGGACTGAAAGGCCAGGAGCAGGAGGCAGTGGGAAGTGTCCCCATGCTCATCTAGCTGGGGGCGGGGAGCACCTGTGACCTGGCTGCCCCTCCGCTTGCTGCCCACCTGTGCCCACCACCGACCGCTCTGGTTGCACCTGTCTGTCTCCCTCCTCGCCCTCAGGCGCCTCCAGAGTAGCAGCTGTGTCTGAATTCTCTTGCTCTCTCTCTTCCTCTTTCTCCTATGCCCGTCCCAGAACCTGGACCGAGGAGGTGCTCCGAGAAGGCTGTTCAGTGGAATAGTCACTGGTCTGCGACGGGAAGGACCAGGCTTCAGGAGGCCCCTCAGCGAGGTGAGGGCAGGCTCCGCCGCGAAGTGACTAAAAGCACGCACTTCGGATCGGGACATCCTGGCTCAGGTTCTAGTTCCACCTCTTGGCTGTGTGACGTCGAGGAAGTCACTTCGCCTCTTCTGAGCTCCAGCTTCCTCCCGTGTTACACGTGAACAATCAGTCCCGCCCCTTCGCCTATGAGGATTACGTGAGCGAATGTACATAAAATGGTCAGAAAGCACCATTTTTTGTGCCTAGTTTGTTATCATAAAGGCCACTGCCCCATCTCACCTTCTATCAATCCTGACGGGGGAAAAAAAAAGGTACATATGGCTGAAGGTCCCTGGGTGAGGGAATGTCCAGCTGTGGGGGAAAATTACGTGGAACCGTGGGAACGAAGGATCACACCACGGAGGGTCTGGCTTCATCAGACTGGAGGACGAGGCCTGGACCAGGAGCCGACTGACCTGGGTAGATAGAGGTGCCCAGCCTGGCTGTGGGACCTGGACAAGTTCCTTAACATCTGAGCCTCAGTTTCCTTCCCTGCAACTTGGAACTAATAACGAACCTGCCCTACCTTCCCCCGGGACCACGGGGAGGATGGGCCCCGACGTTACACGCAGAAGTGGTGTCACCGAGTCCCGCTGTAGTATAATTCGCTCGTGGAATGTTAACAATAAATGAACAAGCTTATTCACTGCATGACTCCAAGGCTCTTCCAGGCCCAGCTCTCTCCACAAGCCTAGTTTTCTTCGTGTGCACAGAGCTAATGCAAACCGTATGTTCTGAGGATTGGTTAAAAATGAAGAGAAGCCATAGCGAATTGATTTAGGTGCCTAATTCCATTTGAAATGACTTTGGCAATAAATAAACCGACCCCTTCGATTCTTTTAAATCAGCATATTTCAGCAACAAAGTGACAGCTTGGAATCGGTGGCCCTCTCCATCTCGCTCTGTTGGCTCAGGTGGGTCCACAGTTAAAGACACCGAGGCCTGGCCTGGCACCAGGCCACTGGCCTCTGCAAGCACAAAGTCTGTCTGTTGCCAACTGCACACATCTCTGGCTCAGTGGGAACGTGAATCTCGCCTGCTCGAAGCCAGCTGATAGACTTTGCCCTGCTCGGTCCCTCTGTGGTCACCCGGCACCCAGGGGCCTTTCATGGGATTGAGTTTGTGAAGCTATGTGAAGGGTCCTGTAGGGTGTTTGTGAGGGACAGGGAGGCTTTGAGTCAAGACGATGACCCAGACGGGGTTCTAGAACTGGAATGTGGGCAAAGGGTCCCATCCTTTGGCCTGGAGCAGTCGCCCAGGACTGCTTCCTGGGTGAGGGGCGCCACTGGCTTCATGCATGTGGTGAGCCAGCTGGGTCTGGAGACCAGATCGGTGAGTTACTGAGCCCCCTGGACCTCCATGTGCTCACCTGGGTAGCACAGGCAGTAGAGGCTTGCACCCCTAAGCTGTCATGAGGGTGCTCTCACAGCGCCTGCTGCCCATTGTCATGTAAAGCACAGGGCTGACAACTGTCAGCTGAACACGACAGAGAGAAAGTGCTTCCTATCGGTGGTCAGGACACGCCGAGGAGCTCAGAGAAGCTACACCCCAGCGGTCATGCGCACACACATGCACACACAAGCACACGCACACACACGCACACGCACACACACCTTGACACTCATAGGCCCACACACGCACACATAGACACACTGACACTCAGAGTCAGACATACATGCTCACACCCCCACACAGTTACACTGACACCCGTAGATGCAGGCACGTGCACGCACAGACATACTAACACACACATAAACGTAATATGCACACTGACACACGTGCGTGCACACACACACACACACCCGACAGGCAAATCGGGGTTTGGACACAGCTGGCTGAGTGTGGCCGGTGAGCCGCCGCATCCGGCTTTGTGGTCACCAGCTCACGTGGACACCCGCCCCTCCCTGACCCTCACTCCATCCTGTCACCAGCCCCAGCGGAGCCCAGGGACAGGCAAGGCCTTTCACAGCACTTAACAACAACGAGAAAACTGAGCCACTTAATGGCTTGGGTCTGAGGCCTCTGGGTCAAACGTGCCCCTGGGTCAAACAGCTGCTGCCACCGCCCGGCACCTCGGCCCTACTCGCCCCTCGCTGTCTTCCCGCCTGAAAGGGCTCCCCAAACTCTGTGGCTGGCCCTAAACACGAGCAGCGACCAGAGGCCTCTCCAACCTTGGAGCTGGTTAGGCCTCAACCACAGGCCCCACAGGGACCCGGGGACCACGGAGACCACAGAGACATGGGGACCACGGGGACCACGGGGACATGGGGACCACGGGGACCACAGGGATATGAGGAACCATGGGAACCGCAGGGACACAGGGACATGGGGACCACGGGGACACGGGGACCATGGGGACATGGGGACCACGGGGACCATGGGGACACGGGGACCAGAGACACAGAGACCATGGGGACATGGGGATCTCGGGGATAACGGGACCATGGGAACTGACCACAGAAGCAGCTACTGCCTCCCGAGCCCCCAGCCCCTGCCGCCCTTCAACCTCTTGGAGGTGACAACCACAAGCCCTGTCCTGGGCTCCACCCCAAAGCTGCCCCGGGCCCAGAGCAGTCAGGGAGACAGCGCCAAGCTGGCTACTGCAGTGGCCAGTTGTTCTCGTTTCCAAATCTTCAGGCGAAGAGTCACCTGTAAGTCGGGCCGGGGCTGCCAAGGCCCTCCCTGGCGTCTGACCCTGACAGGCTGGGGGCCCTGGCCCGTGGAGCTCAACACGCACTCAGGCGGTTCTGGTCACGGGGGGCTGAAGCAGGCAACCGAGGGCACCAGGCCTCCCCGGCCCTCGGCAGCACCAGAAGCACCTGGACGGCTCACTGCCCCATGGCTGGGCCCCAGCGTTTCTGACACGGCCGAGACGACACCGAGGCTGCTGGGCAGGGACCACACCTCGATGAGGAATTCCTGCAAAGTGTCAGGGGACAGCAGAGCTCTCAGAGGAGGGGCCAGGGTGTACCCATTTGACTTGATAGCTGAGGAGGGACACGGATGTCGGCCACCACGCAGCTCCTCCAGCCCGCGTCCCACGGGCCCGTCCAATCCAGCAGATCTGAAGCGAGCCAGAAGCACGGGCTCAGCTCTCACCCTCCCTTCCTCTGCACCCCGGCATCTGACAAGTCGTCACGTCCCAGATGATTCTGACATGTAGCCAGGGCGAAGAAACCCCAGGGTAGGTGCCAGCACTCACTCGAAAACACGACATTATGCGACACATTCAAAACCTCAGTCTAAGTTTTGGTTTGTAGAAGATGATCTTTATCCTAGACGTGAACAAGGTCACGGGCTTGTCAGGTTTTATAGAACACGTCACAAGGCGCTTTCCAATTCTAAAACCAATAAATGAATGCAAAATGTAAATAATTGAAATATCAATTTCGCACATGTAATAGATGCTCAATGAATATTCATAGAATGAATTAATCTATCAGTGAATACAGTCTTAGTTTTAGAGCTGCCCAAAATACTCATACATCTCCCCTGTAGACTGTGAGTTCCCTGAGGACGGGCCTGTGGACACGGCCCCCAAGCAGGGACGTTTGATGAATAAAGCAATGACTTGAGGCACATGGCAGAGGGGCCCAGAACACTCATGGCTGCCTCCGGCTACCTCTAATGTGCGACGATCTTCTGGGTGAACAGGGAAATGCTCATATGTCATTTTGCTGAAAGGATGACAATGTTACAATTTAATTATGGAAAAACCAGCTTGCTTAAGTTATGGTGCTTTTCTGAAGGCCTGAGGAGAAGCCCATACATGGCTTTTCAACTCAAGACAAAGCCAAAGGCTCCTAGCAGCCCCCAGCCCTCACATGGGTGGCTGGGCCGGTGCTCCACACTGCACCCAGCAATGCAGGGGCTCAGCCTTTCCTAAGGAGCCCTCGCTGGGCACGTGGCCACTACTCTGTGACCAGTGGAGGGTAAATGGTGGAACCATGGCCTGTGCGTCACCCCTGTCTGGTGACCTCCACTGATCTGACCCTGTGATGGCCATAATATTCCTTCCCCAGCTCCCCAGCTCCCCAGCAGCCGTGGAGCTGCAGCACGGTGGTAAAGAGCAGAGACTCTGAGGTCACACAGACCAGGGGTCTAATGCCTTTGCCACCACTTACTAGCTGTGTACCTAGGGCAAATCACTGAGCCTCTCTGAGCCGCAGTGTCCCTGCCTATCAGAAAACATCAACGCAGTACCTGTCCTGAAGGTCATCACGAGATAAGAATGAAATGATGCTGCAGAGTCTGAACACCCGGACTGGCGTGGAAGAGGGACTTGGGTTTCAGCAGGTGACAACGGAGGTCAAGCCCTCAAACCCCAGGGCTGCCACTTAGTCGCTGTGTCACGTGGAGCAAGCCTTTTTCCCTTGGTAAGCCTCGGTTTCCACATCTGTAATATGAGACGGATGGCAGACCCCATTGCAGGACCCCTGTGACAACCAGAACTCCACGGTGACTGTTTCCTGATCAGTGGGAGAGCTCGTGGTTCAAGGAGGCGGGGTGGAGAGGGAAGTCTCAGGCCACAGGCCTGCATCTGCCCTCATGTGATCTGCTGTCACCAAGGCTGGGGGGAAGAACAAATTCAGGGCCCCGTGGAGGTGACAGGCCCTTTGCCCACTTATAATCTGAACCAACTCAGCCACTGACACCTCATTGCCTCAATCCCCAAGGAGGAGCTAGAATCCACGAGCGGCCTTCCCTTCCCACACCCCTGAAACAATCTGGGGGTCAGGTGGGAACAGGTCCCTGGGACAAGATGCCAAGTCGGGGGACACAGGCTGGGTACTAGACTCCTTCCCAAATGCCCAGGAGTCCTGGCACAGGCAGGAGAAAGGACGCCAGAACATGCCTTTGGCAAAGAGAAGCACAGTGGCATCCTGCACCCACCCACGTGTACTCGGGTGGCGATGTCCTTAAACCACAGTCAGAGGGCCACCTTCTCCCAGTCTGCTCTACGGACAGGGTCAGCCTTCATCTGAGTCAGGGCCGTGGGGCAGCGGAGCTGTCTAGCGAATCACGACTTGCCTAAGGCAGCCGAGGCGGAGCTCCCCGGGCGCCCAGGTAGCCACGTGGCATCTCGGATCCCACGGCCCAGAAAGGAGCCCACGGAGAGCATGGGCGGTCACGTGTGTATGAAGACATGGGTCCCCTCTGGGCTGAGCTGCGGTGGCTTAACCACTCTGTGCCTGCGAAATGTGGATAAAGGTCATTAGTGCTGGGTATTTCGAGGTCAGGGAGAATAAAACGGGCCCGTGCTCCGTAAACACGGAAGTGCTGGGCAGGAGTTAGTGCTTTTCAGTCACTCACATGAATTTTACCGTTCATCGTAAAATCGTGCCACGCCGCCTCCAAACGAAAACACGGGAGCATTGAATTCCTTCCACGAAATCGCGGAAATCCACCCTTCGCGTTTCGCAAGTTGTGCATGCGGGTGTATTTTTGTCCTTAACGGGAACAGTGGAAACGCTGCACGCACCTCGACGGTCTTCACGTCACCCCCTGACCCTCTGCACCTTTGCCTCGCTTCTGAATAAGGCAGGACTGAGAGAAAAGGGAACTGCCCGCAGCCAGTGCTCCCCCTGCCCTGGCTCGTCGTTCTCAGCGAAAGTGACTGGCTGACACGCAGCAGGAACATGAGTAAGAAAAGAGAAGAGAGGGCCCTTTGGTCGCGCATGTTTCTTAGAGCATCGCTGTCTCCATTCTGCATTTAAAGCAAGTGCTGGTCTCTCGAGGCTGTGGGCACTGACCCAGTCCTCGATGGGATGTGTGTGCCTTATCCTCTGAGACTTACTGAACTCCTGAGCATGGGGGTCCCTGGAGTTCCGTGCTCACAGGCTTCTAGAACACTGCAGGCCAGTAGGGCAGCAGGAACAACCGACATGTGCTGCTCAGATCTCTGCTCGCGTGCGTGCTCCCAATGCCACCGATTTCACTTACGAAACACAAGTTCAAAGATAAAGTTATT